AGTGAGCTGTTGTTGTTGTTTACTTAGCTGTAAAATTTTAATCGGATTAGCTTTCTCTGGGCTTTCGATTGCATTCTATTTAATGTTTTAGTAGTTTAAAATATAGCTACTGATTATATTGCGTGGTATTGTACGAATATCTTTGAGGAAAAATCCAGCGTTTTGTTATATATCTTGTGATAAGAATAAATTTTAAGAACTTTTTATCGGACTTTTGCGTTCAATCTCTTACGAACCCGTACGCAATCAACAACTATATCTAGTAGCTTATTGGATACAAAATCTTATGGTTTCGGACTGAAATATTTTGTACACCTAAATTGTGCCTTTGTTATTCTCCAAACGGAAGACATATACATCGTCTGAAGAATGACAATGACAACAATCATGCAATTTCCTGAATTCGTATTGCCGAAATATCAGTCCTACAGAAACATCGCAACATCGTTTTTTAAGATGGGAATAATTGTCTCGCGGTCATATGATGCTGGTGCGCCGCTCGGGCCAAGGTCGCCGCGTTCTATCCTAACCTTGAAAATCGCCTTTGGGGGAAAAATGGGGGGAGGTTGGAAAAGCAACAGGTCGTGTTTCTACCTCTCACCCGTACCCCTTCGAATTCTTTTACCGGCGTACACGTACTCTGCTGTTAACTGCGTCGTTAATAAATTAAAAGGTGGAATGTTTACAAGCTGTGTCACCTTTTTATTTATTTTTTAATTCTTTATCCTCTTTCGTAGTACGTGTTTGTCAACTCCAAATTCGAAATATGTTGCTGAATAAATAATGCAGTATTGCAACAGATAGAAGGCATGTTATATTACTGTTCGTATCCATTGTTTTCTTAAAAGGATTCAGGATTATATTTAGTATTTTACTAATTCATGTTTTAAGAAACTTCACCTTTAGAAAATAATAACAATAAAGCTTAAAAATATCGGAATTTGGCCAAATTTTCCCATAATTTACGAATTTTCTCATTAGAGACTTAGGAACTATGAAATTCACCGTTAAAAAATTTAAACGAAACTCAAAAGCAATAAAAACGCACCTTTAGAGAACAAATAAAATAAAATTAAATTTAAAAAAAAAAAAAAAAAAAAAAAAAAAAAAGATAATTGTGCAAATTTTGCCCAGTTAGGAACTTAACGAATACTAATTTTAGAAACTTCGGAATCATGAAATTCACCTTCAGAAAATAAAAATTACTTAATGAAATCTAAAACCTTGCTTATTTTTCCATAAAATTTACGAGATTTTTCTTAGGTATTTTGAAGTTAGGAAGTTCACCTTTATAAAATAAAATCTAAAATTAAAAAAAAGGGGGGATTGTTTAAGTTTCTATGAATTCTTGCTTCGCGAAACATTAGAATTAAGAAATTCACATTTAGAAACTAAAACTTAAAAAATGTCTAAAATTTTTCCAAGTTTCCTGGTAATGAACTTGACGAATTCTCTCTTCAGAGACTTCGGAATTAGGAAATTCACCTTTAGAAGATAAAAATTAGAAAATTCCAAGGTTGTTAAGTTTTTCCCGCCTGAACTAAAAAAAAAAAAATCGTCTGATAGCATACCGCTACCGTGGCAACGCCATCTCGGAGATGAAACTGGAATTAATGTATTTAATTCTCCTCTTAAATAAAAATAATGTCTACTAATGTCCACTTATGAATCTAAATTTTTATTGCTGAATAAGATTAAAATTCATTGAGGAAAATATATTTCTGCTCAAAAGTTCCGTTTTTTTCTTCTTTTCTGTTTAAAAAAGTTATAAATAGAAAATATCAAAATACTAAAAACAGGCGAATTTTGCACCACTTATGTAATACATGACCTAAGTTTTTTTTTTTTTTTTTTTTTTTTTTTTAATCGATTAAAGCAGTTCCGAAATCATTTGTTAATTGCAGTAATGTAATATAATTTGTTATCGTATATTAATTATTAGTATTAACTCTGTTAATAAGTGATTAACTTTTCTTTTTTTATCAGTAATCTATGATCTAATTATGATAATGTTAATAATTTATCATCTTTTATTAATTAGAATAATGGTTAATTAATAGTATTTATAAAATATTACTTGGCGATGTTTTTAATTAATTAAAATTTTTTATCTGTTAGATATGTTACTAAAAGGGTAGGGTACGAACTGCGCCAAATTTGATCGAAAATCCCGTCCCCCTCTTTTGTAATCCACGAACTGCGCAACGTTTCCTGTCCCCTATTTCTTTGCCAAGAAGATTGGGTGCTACAAAAAGTCATTTATCGCCATTAATGGGACGTTCTATTGAGACTGCAATCTTTATTTTCGTTTATCAACATTATAAACATTGTGCATGCAAAACAAATATTAATTTCAAGTCTGGCGTGTGCTAAAGTAAAAATAAATTTCTTTTACACTCATTTTAATGATACTTAAAGGAATGATGAGCCAGATCTTTTTTATTCTTTTTAAGAATTAAAAACTTTCCAAGTTGTAGATTTTAGTCGCTGATATATATATGTATATATATATCAATTTTTATTTAGTAAATAAATTATATATATATATATATATATATCGGATTTGTAGCTCACCTTAAATAAGTTTCTTGTCTAGATAAATATTAACAATCTTAGATAGCAGAATGGTTTTAACTTTCAAATTTACCATTTTAGGTAAACAGTTTTAATTTACTTTAAAAATGCTCTTTATTAAATCTACAAATTTGGACTTCTTAAGTCGTTCTAATTCACACTAATATTATTGCAATATATTCCCGTATTAAGCTTTCCATTTTTAATCATTGAAGTTATTTTAAGGTTATTTAACTTTGTTACAAATTCCATATTTTAATACTAGAAACATTTAAATATTTATTCTGTTTTTCCACCTGATGTACTTTGGCATACATTTAATTTCTAATACACATTTAATTAATAAATTAATAATTATGAGCGTCAGCAAAATTTTCATAATTAACAAAAAAAAAAAAAAAAAAAAAAAAAAAAAAAATCAAACTCCCTTATATTCATATCCTGGGATTTTCAGTTCCCTTTTAATCCATTCCTTTTTCACATATTGTTGCACTATACTCAAGTTTTCATCTATGTAGAATTTATATACTTATATTGTATTTATGCCACTTTATATTTAAATGATAATTTTTACAAATTCTTGCATCACAACTCTAGTTAATAGAAGATGTTTCTAACACCATTAATCTTCAGCATGTAGCTTATTTTCTAACCTAGTTTCAGGCTGAATTATTTGTAAAATTAATTACTTGAAATTATTTGTTAACAAAGATGGTCGTTAAATCACGCTAATAATATTTCTAACTGTTGTAATTTATAATGCAAGGAGTTCATATGATTTGTAATATAATTCATTTATAATTTTTTCAGCAGTATTGAAATTAATAGCAGATACTGATAATGATATACATTTAGATTAAAATGATTTAGATTGCCATTGCCTTCTTGACTCATGCTTTTATGCTACATTCCTAATATTTCATAATGGCATGCAGGTAAGTTTAACTCATTCACCAAACATGTAAAATCTCTAATTTAGTCCCACTCTTTGTTCTTACGTGTGCTATATCTTCTATTTTCTTTAATTATATTGTTCAGCCTAATTTCAAAAGATCTTATGATCAAGCGGAAAAAGTCACTAAACATTGGTAGTTCGACGCGAGTTTCTAGTCCCAGTGATATCCCCCAGGCTCTTACTTTTTTTGTTGTACTTATTTACTGTGTAAAAATGTAGCGTAAAACTTTCAGTTCATGAAGTAAAAGTACTTTTAAAATTTATTCTTTAAAAAATATTGCAAAAATTTTCACCTTAGCATATCTTTTTTACAATCCCTGCTAATAGCCTAGTTTTACAAATCCCTCTAATAAGAAAAAATAAGGAAAGAAATTAACTCGGTTTCGATGATTGATACCTCGGTGCAAATTATATGTAACATTTTTCCAAAAGCATAGAGTTTATATGGATATCAATAAATTAAGGATTATTTCTCCATCTAATTTTCTTAACATGTTTATTCCAGAATTTTCTTTTCACACAATTTTCTTAAATTTATGAGTTTTTTATAATCATTTAATTTCTTTAGCCACGGCAACTTTGCATACTTTCTGACAAGTAGTTATATTTTAAACCGCTGTATTTTAATTCCTGTTGACTATCAGTACATTATTCACTTGTTTCACAAGTGCAACTTTTATTTTATACGCAAATCTACGTAAAATAGCATTAAAACTTCAGTTATGCGGAGCTCCTGATTGATTGTTTGTTTTAGATTGAATGAAATTAAGCTTAATGTTACTGTTAATTAGCTTGTTATTAATTAAATTATGCATTTCTAATTAATTATATGTTCAGATATTTCCAAGTATATTACTCAAACTTTTGCGTCCCAATTTTTAATTTTAGTTTAAAAAAATAAACTTTTATTTATTGAGAGGCCTGATTGATTATATTAATTTGCAGTATTGTTTATCTAATTCCTTTCTTCTAGATAAATGTTAGAAAAAAATTCTTAGCATAATAATTTAAATTTATTTACAATTTATACGTCAGTGTTCCAAATGCAGTAATAGTAATGTTGTTATAATAGATTTCATGCTAAGCTTTTTTTAACTAAATTTAATTTCTGCAAACATTTACATGATTACTTTAATTAACAAAAAATATTTTAGCACACTTTAACACACTTGGATATGGAATAATTTTTTTGCACTCTGTTAAATTTTCCAGTCTAGTTCGGACATCTTGACTATTATTGATGTAATTTATTAAAATATAATTTGTATGCTTTATAATTATTTAATTTATGATATTATAATAAATGAAAGATGTTTGTAATGCTAATATGTATGTTTACCAATACCTTTTATTTTCTTTGTTAGCTCTCGCATTTATTACTGTCATTCAAGTAATTAGCCTGCTTGTTAGATATTTTTTACTTGTTCTTGTGATATGTAATTCTATTTATTTATTTTTATTTTCCTCTTAGCTACCATTGGCTTCGAAAAGTTAAATTGTAACCCTGTAGGCAGCAGGTGGAAGAAATTTTGATTGGCGCAGTTGAACTATAGCTCGACCCGGAGGGGGGGACTTTCATTAGCGCAGTTGAAGTACACCCACTAAAAGTACGTTTATTGATCTTAAGTAGTTGTTTGTTGAGCAACTGCAGACTGATTAAATTTGAAAGATAAATTAGAGTTTATGTTTCACTGAATGGCAGCCCTTGTCCACGGCTGCTACTAGATTTTTTTACTTCCATGTATGAATGGAAGTATTGTAATCGGGGAAAAAAAAAAAAAAAATCGAGTATCATATTTCAACGGAAATACCCATTTTTTACCGTTTCCGAATCAATTTGGATTTGCACATACGGACAGAATAAATGACTTTTTTTTTCCAAAACGGATTGTAAAATTGATTTAAAATGGATTCCAAAAAAATTACCAGTTCCAAATTAATTAATTGATTTCCAGAATGGTCCACATTTATTATTATCTAAATTTTACTTTACATTTTCTGGGAGATAATCTTTCATTTATATGTTCTATATTAAATTAAAATTTTTAATCTTAGCAGCAATAGCGCGGGATTTTACTTTTTAAGACCTTTTAAAATGAATTTTGAAATACCTTAATTGTAAAATATTTGTACTGCGTTGTTATTTTTTCCTTTTATTTCTTTACAATGGCAAACAGGATGGCTGCGTGGACACTTTCGTGGTTTTCCCCATGTGTAACGTGTATACGAGCCATTTCCCTTAGAAATTCCTCCATGAAGGTATCTCCCGCCTTAAGTAAATTAAACCAAACCTCTAGCCTATGAAAAATTCTCCCCTTTTCTAAGAGGTTTGTAATCCTGCGTTGGTTGAAAAACTCTTCCGGCTTAGGACGCTCGTTATGCTTTGAAAAAGTCGTCTACCTTAAGACGTTTGTAATCTTCTAGTCTATGAAACATTTTTGTCCCTTAAGACGTTCATATACTTTCGACCTTTCAACAATTCTTAAGATATTCATAATCCCCTGGTGTTTTAAAATTGATATGTTCGCAGTCTCTTGGCATTTGAACAATTCTCCCTGCTTATGATGTTCACTAGTGTTTTAAAAATTAAGATGTTCGAAGTTTCTTGACCTTTGAATAATTCTTCCTGCTTAAATGTTCATGATATTTTAAAAATTAAGATGTTAGTAATCGTCTGGCCTTTGAACAATTCTCCCTTCTTAATATGTTCATAACCCCTGGTGCTTTAAAAATTAAGATGTTCGCAGTCTCTTGGGCCTTTGAACAACTCTTCGGGCTTAAGATGCTCATAATCTCCTGGTGTTTTAAAAATTGAGATGTTCGTAGTCCCTTTGAATAATTCTTCCTGCTTAAGATGTCCATATCCCCTGGTGTTTTAAAAATTAAAATGTTCACATTCTCTTGGTCTTTGAACACTTTTTCCTGCTTAAGATGTTCATAATCCCCTCGTCTTTTAAAAATCGAGATGTTCACGGTCTCTTAGGGTTTGAACAATTCTCCCTGCTTAAGATGTCCCCCGGTGTTTTAGAAATTAAGATGTTTGCAGTCCCTTGACCTTTAAGTAATTATTCCTGATTAAGATGTTCATAATCTCCTGGTGTTTTAAAAATTGAGATGCTTGCAGTCTCTTTGCCTTTGAACAATTCTTCGCGCTTAAAATGTTCATAATCTCGTAATGTTTTAAAAATTGAGATGTTCGTAATCATCTGGCCTTTGAAGATTCTTGCTACTTAACACGTTCATAATCTCCTGATGTTTTAAAAATTAAGATGTGTCCTACTGGCCTTTGAAAAATTTTTCTCCCTCGAAAGGTTTGTAATAATTTTCTGGTCTTTCGAAATCGTTTTAAACGAGGCTTGTGATGTATCTGATAACACAATTATACATTATAACACTGATCACATGTACGTATCATCTATGTATTTTGGTATAGCAATACTAGGAACTTTTTCAATAGGGTAACCTACAGTTCCAAGCGATTTGAATCTTCTTTTGAGGTGGTCGGCTTAGAGACACGATTTTCAAAATCGTCGTCAGAAATTATGGTCACTTTCAGAGGAGATCTGGAGCACGTACCGCCTCCTTAGAATTGAGTAATAATACGTTTTTTATGCTGATTCACATTTATATTTTATAATCTAACTGTGAATCCACTTCAAATTCAATGAAACTTTATTAATGTAATTATTTGACTTCAATCTCTATCCCTCCTCCTGCGGAACGCCGTTGCTGTATTTCTTGCGAATAGACTTGTCAAGAGGTGAATTATAGCTATGGAAAACAAAGTGACAGTTGCGGATTCCAGCTCGTAGAACAAGTTTTAATACTTTTTCCAAACAAAATCAAACAAATTGCTTAAGTTAGGAAGGGTTAAACAGAGGCCACCCGATGACCCAATGCCTTCAATGAGAGTGACGTCATCATCCTTTTGTTGGAGTGCCGCCCCATAATGCATCTCCACCCCAAAGGAATTTGCATTGTTTCCCACCACCTCACCGCCCTTTTGCTCTCTGCGTTTGTCACGCCATGACCTTGTGGACCTGGACCATGGTGGATGACGTGATCGTTGCGTAACGTCGACTACCGGTTGGTCTCGCCATTATTATTATTACACAGGAATGCGTTCTTTCATCGAAATAATGCAATGATTAAATAATGATGAAAATTCTTCCGAAGAGAAAGAAATTGCTTTGGAAAATTTCTATGTGGAATGAACTTTGAGAATTTAATCTAATAACTTAACATTTATAAAATTTACTTTTGATAAATCATGGGAACAAAGTCTTTTATAATGTTATAAAGCTTCTGATATGTATTATTATTTTTAATTTCTCTTTTTATAATAGTGGGTTGACAAGAAAATAATTTCGGTTTGCACAAATAGGTAGCATTGTATTCGTTCTGTTATTTTTCTGTCAACCATTGATTAATAAATTAAGTCACTTAAAAGCAGTGATTAAATTATGTTGTTCTTATGTTCCGGTTAAGGTTTTTATGCTTTTAGTTAATCTGCATGGAATAGTTGTAGAATCATTAACAATTTAAAAGTGTAAGTTAAGCCCAACGAACGGCAATTTGTTTACATTTGAAGCTCTTAGTAGAATAGTGAATTAAGTTAATTTGTGCACAATTTCAATGTCTTTTTGGCCCATTCGAACAAAAATTAACTTTCAGTTTTATGCACAGAACGTTTTGTCTTCCTGTTCGCTCGCCGAATTGCTTGTTTTTACATACAAACTGTACTTTTAATAGTAAAAAAAATTGTAAGTGTTTTTAACTATATTTGATGTTTTACGTTTTTCTGTATTTTACAATTTTTAATCTAGATGTTTTGAATTTTTATGTATTTTTGTCTTATCGCGTAGTGAGAACTGAATTAATTGAATGATAAATATATCTTTAATGAAATTTGAGAATGAATTGACGAATTTTTAAAAATGTGCAGTAAAAGTATTTGCAATGAACGAAAATCCAAATATATTCTTTACTGCTTTATAACAGTAGTAAATGTTAATATGTGAATTTTTCGAAGTTATCGATTTTAAACTTCCTGTTTTTTTTTTTACGCAGCAATTTTGTTTTCGTATTGTTTATTAGAAAGTGTACGTTTTTTTCTCTCTACTTGTATTTTTGAAGCACAGAGATCTGCGCTTTTTTTGTTTGGAAATGCGTTATTTTCTATTTTTTTCCTTAATTTAGCATAATTTTCATATCTTTAGTTTTGCAATGCGCAGTTTTCTGATATTTTTTTGAAAAATGCAACACAGTTGTACTTTTTTTAAAGGCATGCATTTCTGTTTTTGTTTGAAAATTTTGTTATAAAAACTTTGCTTTTTTTTTTTTTTTTTTTAATTCACAGAAATGTTAACTTTTTTTCTTAAAACTTTACCTTCTTTAAACTCTGCAGCTATCAATTTGAGTTCAATGCAACAGAGTCTCACATTTTCCTTTTTTTTCCATTGCAGGTGCTTAGGAGAGGTGCGTCATGCCCGGCGTTACGAACGGCGAGAAATGGAGCAGTAGGGATTCTCCTCCCAGGTACGTCTCTCTTTCCTCTTTTTTGACCGGCAAGGCCGTATGTATATATACGGCCTAGAATATTTTTTATGATGTCTGTAAGAACGTATATATACGTGCATCTTGAAGTATGTCGAAAAAATTAAGGCAGTATATTAAAAATGCATAGATCAAGGTATAAATTACCTGGGCATTTTAGCTTTAAAATCAAGACAACACCTCTTTCTAATGGCAGTTTTCGTAAATTTGTGCTTCCTTTAGTGAAACTCTGTGCCGGTCAGAGAGTTAAGAACACTTGTGCTATCGTAAGTCTTTTTTAGAACATAAATAAGTAAAACGGAAAAGCAACAAAGTAATATTAAAAATTTCATTACCTTTTAAATAAAACTTGCACAAACTAAGAAACATATAGATAGTTAAGTTAGGCTGTTTAATATTGCAAAACCCGTTAGGGCCATCGCCTAACGAGAGGGAAGACTTTCTGAAGGAAACTGGTGAACATTCACGTTACAAGCAGGGAAAGGCACGGAAACCAACCGTTAGCCCATTCTCTAGGGATGAAAAAACTTGGGTCCAAGTCTCCGTCTTCAGCAGTCTTAACAACTCATCCACTACTGAGGCACGAAACTTACAGAAAATTTCAGTGGTTTTTCTTTTTTTTCTTTTTTTTTTTTTTCCCCTTTTCTCCCAACGGATTTTATTGTTAAAAAGCTGAGCACGCAACCATTGTTTTAGCGATTTCGCCCACATTTTTCACAGTGATAGAGAAATTAAAAGTAAATGTATGTGTGAAGAGAGGGTGCGTACTTCTCAATAATGAGGGAGAAAAATCGAAGATCAAATTCTAAACGAGACTGATATTATTTTGAAGTCTCCTCTCGCAACTTCTAGATTGTTGGCGAGGTATAAAGTCACTAAATTAACGTCTTCAGGTAGATTCTCTATTAGCAAGAATATTTTTCTTGGTTTTATTAATTCTTTTTAATACTGTTTTTTTCTCAAGAAATATAAAAGTAGTGCCAAAAATAAAGGCGCTACAAAAATTTCATAGTAAAAATTATTTTTAGCCCAAAGGAGCGTTACCTCAGAAGGGCTCTTAATTTCGTTTTGGCATTTTGCGTCATTTCACTTCCTGCATTGATTCACTTTTAAGACTCTTGCCACCAAATATTACAACCCCGTATTATACTTAAAGAAATTAAATAATGAAGAATCTACATGAATGTGTGTATGTTTCTCGCATTGTGATAAAACAACGTTACCTACAGCTATCCAATTTTCAGTAACGTACGTTTCCACCCGAATATTGGCATCTGGAAGCCCAAATTCGGAATTTGTTTTATTATCTATTTCGGATTTTTTAAAACTTTAAAACATTTTTGACGAACAAACTCAACGATTTCAAAGCGAGCAATGGCAACACTCTGCGGAGAAAAAAGCTTTTTATCTCCAGCAGGGAGACTGTGTATCGGAAATTCTAAAGATATGCTCATTTAAAAATTATTTTGCAATGTTGCTCTTGAATTCAATTTTGTGGTTTGAGTGCGAAGAACGTGATATTTAATAAATAAAAGTAGCACACGAAACGTTAAAAAAAAGCCCCTTTGGGCGTAATGTAAAATGAAATGCTTTCAATTTTTTTTTTTTTTTTTTTTTTAACTGTGTTTACCAAAAAGCTTTGTAAATTGGATTTAAAATAGATTCAAAAGAGAATTTTTCCCTTCACGTCTGTACGCACGTATCTCGCATAACTCAAAAACGAGTAGCTGTAGAATTTTGAAATTTTGTGCACCTTCCTCTTTCGTTTTCATACTCTAATTTCCGCATTTTTCCAGTTGTAATGTATTTAGTTCATCACTTGCCTTTTCGTATGTATTTCACTTTTACTACTTGTTTCAGGAAAACGATAGGATGTTTTCAAATATTTAGGCGGCTTTTGTTAGGTTTTAAATTCTATACTTATTTTAACATATATATATATGTGCAATAAAACTGTGCTTCGATGTCACGACATGAATGGTTTGATCGTGAATGCGGTACAAACTTCCATTAAAATTTTCGGTGAAACAGGACTTTTCCCATGATTCACTGTGAACATAGCTTAACAAACTCATGTAGGTTTTTTCATAATTAGAACTGGCCGAAGAATGTAATGACAAAACAGTTTTGGAGGGCACTGAAATAAGAACACTGAGACGTAGATGCGTAGAAATAATAATTTCGTAGATACTTGAAGCTTAGAGTGTCCATCCATTTTGAAGAAGAAGCAGTCGAGCCAGATTAAATTCCTTTTTTACACTCATGTCCGTAAATTAAGGATAATGCAAAATCAGGCAAAGGAAGAGTTAGAAGCAAAACAAATCTCACTTATTTGTAAAGCTTATTTATTAAACAAAAGGTAAAGAGCAAAAAAAGATGCTATATGGTTTGATATTATTAAAAAAATTAGCGATTTTTTTTTCTCCCTGGAGAAAAATTACAAAAAAAAAAAAAAAAAACCTATTTACAAAAAACCAATATTACATGGTTGGTATTGATTGTTAATACATTGTATGTCTCCCAGACGATGCAATACAGTCCGTACAACGCCTAGGCAGGCATGTTGAGTATCAAATTATCGATCTGATCTTGGGGGATATTACACCACTCAAAAAGCAATGCTCTCCGAAGTTCCGGTAGACATGTAGGAAGGAGGTTGACGGGCTGCAACTCGTCGGCCAAGCATGTCCCACACGTGCTTCTACTGGATTCAAGTCCGGTGAGAATGCTGGCCAGTCTGTACGGGTGATATCCTCCGATTGAAGGCATTCGCTTACGATGTTTGCACGGTGAGGACTGGCGTTGTCATCCATAAACACGAATTGTGTGCCCATGGCACCCCCGAAACAAACGTACATGTTGTTCCAGAATGACGTCCCGATAGATTTGGCTTGTCATGGTTCCAATTTGAACATGAAGTCATCCAGAATAATTCCACCCAAACGAGCACTCCTACACCACCGTAACGGTGTCGTTCAATGATGCTTTCTTGGTGGTAACGAATACCTGGAGCTCTCCATATGAAAGTCCGGCGAGAATCAGACTGCAAGCTAAACCTGGACTCGTCGGAAAACATCACACAAGCCCACTGTTGCGGTGTCCACAGTGCATGCTCTCTACTCCAGGCTAACCGCAGGCGACAGTGAGTTGCAGTAAGTGGAACGCATCTGACAGGTCTACGAACATATAAACCAATCTGCCCTAAGCGTCTGTACACGGTCTGCCTTGAAATTGTCGTACCAGTGGCTGAAGAGAGCTGACGAGGCAGGTCTCAGGGCTGTGCTCCACCTGTTTCTTTTGGCAGTAACTGCCAAATACCGGTCCTCATTCGGAGTTGTAACTCTGGGGCGACCTGTGCTGTAACGTCTACTCACATTACCATCATCTTGGAATCGTTGCCAAAGCCAGGAGATGACACTCTGGGCAATTCCAAGTTCGTCTGATACTTCCAGTTGGGTAAGCCCACATTCCAGACGACCGATAATTCTACCACGTAAAAAATCATCCAAATACGTTCTTTGTGTCATAACTATTCGGTTATTGCAATGAAATACTCATAAAGCGCCTGCGAACAATTTTACTTCTTTGCCTGTATTCCTTATATATCACTCTCTTACACTCTCGTCATTGTGACGTACCATCGGTGTCATCTGGTTTACTTCCTGAAATTTGCATATGATTCTTGAAGATGTGTATAGTGATTTTACAGGTGATATATTTATTTTAGAGTTCGATTTCTGCGTGACTCCGAATTATCCTTAATTTATGGACATGAGTGTATTTAAATTCAGATTTTGTGGCCACAAATACTTGGCACTGTACTCGTGTTTATTAAAGAACATTTACAATTTTTAATATTATTGCCATAGAAGCGAATGTCGCATCTCATACATGATTGCAGTAAAGCATCTGGCGAAGAGGAAAGCATGAGCAAAAGTGACGCATCAGTTCATAGAAAGAAGCGAGGGAGTTAAAAGTTTCAGTTTTTAATTTTGGTTTACAATTTGGTGATTGGTCAAAAGTTACTTAAAATCGCATGATTAATTTGAATGACGCAGTTCAGACTTACAGCGCTATTTTTAGACAGACAGATGAAGTTTCCAAATGAAATAAAAAATAAAAGAGGCTTAGTGAATTAGATTTTGAAGTTTACTTTCACATTTTTTATCTTACATATTCCCCCCTCCTTTCAAAAAAGAAAAATGCAGAGCGATAGAGAAGCCTTTTTGAGAAAAAAAGCATTAGAGCAGCAAAATATGATATATATAATTGTGAAACATACAAAACATAAAATTGGCTTTTGAACAATAAAATTATAGTAGGTAAAATTTTGAGTTCAAAAAATAATTTTAAGCACTATATTGTTTTAAAATAACTGTAGATTTTTAAAGTCCTATTAAAATTTGAGTCCAATCTATAAAAAGTTCTTGTTTCTGGAACATTCACATCATAATTTTAAAACTTCAGGGAAGGATTTCCAAAAATTTTTGCACACATGATCACAGTAGTAAAAATTTTATATACTCATTAGTTATTAACGAATGGTCATTAATCTTAAAATTTCACACCATACTAATTTTCACACATATAAGTAATACTTTTACCATTTGGAATATTATTGTTGAAATTATGGTTTTTACTTGTATTACTACATTTTACAATTTTCGTATTTTACACAAACTAGAAGACCCCACAGCTTTCTCCTAGTACACACACATATCCAGCTATTTGAGCATATCCACTTTTTAACAAACTCATGTATTACATTTTCATGAGTGGTTATGTGAATTGCACTACACATTCCATTTATAAAAAAATCACACTCCATTATATGAAAATATATGTAAGATAAAAAACATGAAAGTAAACTTCAAAATTTAATTCACTAAGCCTCTTTTATTTTTTTATTTCATTTAGAAACTTCATCTCTCTGTCTAAAAATAGCGCCGTACGTCTGAACTGCGTCATTCAAATTAATCATG